CCCTCTCTCTCCCACTTGCTCTCCCCCTTCCTCCCCGTCTCTCCACACCATTTTGTCGATCAGAGTGAACACCTCACTCTGCTGACGGGGTGGGCCACCTTCGTCAAAGTGCTCCGAGGCGTTGGCAGAATATCTCGGCCGCTGTCCGTCTCTCTCGCTCAAGTAGGAGAGGGACGGAGGACTGCTCTGTTGTCACGCAGCCCCACCGTGAGCGCGAGGTGTTCGATGGCGCCCATGATGAATGGCCCCCGTAGCCTTTGACAGAAGTTAGTTCGGCCCAGAGGAACCGCATTGCTCGGCAGCCTGGCAGGCTCCCCTCTATTTAATGAGTTGTTTAAAATTTCTCCTTCTCTTCGACCGTCCATTTAAGTTTAGGAAAATTTCGATTTTTTAAAAAGAGAAGTGACATGCTATAACTATAGTTAGACTTTTTTTTTAAGGTTGACTGCAGTTCTTGCGTGAGAAGTTGTAATGAAAAGCTCGGTTAAGCGTATTACTCGCTGCTAAAAATAATGCTAATATGTCATCTTTTGGTGGACGTTGTGTTCCCTTGTTTTCTTCACTACCTGCATACTTTCCCAAGTGTTTCCCGGAGCGCATTCTACCTGAAGTGTGTGTCTTTACAGGGAATGGAGCGGTTGCCCGACGACGTGCTGCTCATGATGATGGAGTACTTCACCGCAACGGACCTCGTCACATGTCGGCTCGTCTCCAAGAGGTGGGGGAGCTTGGCCGTTCACCCAAGTGTGTGGCGGCACCGGACCATCACCACCCACTGCTGTAATCACTTCGTTTGTCTAGTGCTGCGCTTGGCTCCATGTGTGCAGGAGCTGCGCTTCACGTTTCCTTCGAGGCCGGGAGTCTGTCCTCTGCCATACGCCACGACAAAATGTGCAGCGGAAACACTGATCGTATCTGTCTCCGGCAAAGGTGCCGCCCAGGCTGCTCTGGCGATAAGACACCAAGAATCGCTCGGCCGGCTGAAGCATGTACTATTGCAGACTGAAGAGTTGTCAGACTCTGACGACGTGTCTGTGGTGTTCGAAGTGCTGGCCTCCATGTCTGGCCTGCAGCTGCTCTCCGTTGTGACAACCCCGGGGGGCGTTCGCTTTATGCCTAGGGCGATTCTGCACAGCTCCAACCCTACGGCTTCCTTGCGCTATTTCCGCTGCACCCTCTCCGCAGGAATGGAAGAATTCTGCAAGTTCGTGTTTGCCGGCCATGCCACCACTCTAGAGAAAATTGAACTCTCCCCGAAAAACGTTTCATCCGAGCTGGAACTTGATGCTGTCGACCAAGAATATATGGCTATGGTCTCATTGGCTCCCCTGCTGGCTGGTATGCCTAATCTTGATCACCTAAAGTGTCCGTTGCTCCCCGGGCTGGATGCACTCGCCTCGTGCACGAGCTTAAAGGAGCTGCTATTTGTTGTGGGTACCAGCACCAGCATGCATACGGCTGTCCTGTCGGTCACCACCCTTCTTCGCCGTTTGACCAGCCAGCTGAGCGAACTGACCTTACTTTACTGCTCCGGAACCCGAGGACCAACTGATGTCGGCTTGCACCTAGTCGAGGCCCTGACATCTGGGCGACCCGTCTTGGAGGCGTTATCCATTTCGAATTTAGCCTTCAAGGAGTTGGAGTACCTTCCCCAGTTGGAGACGTTGCTTACGTCGCTGCCCTTGTTACCAGCCCTGCGGCACCTGGCGGTGGATGTGGTGCCAGATGAGTTATTGCGGGCAATCACCCCTAACACTGCACCAGCCCTGCAGAGCTTCCTTGTCAAGGATCGTCACAGATGCGCGCACTCGTGGCTGCACAGAGACACACTTCAAAGCTTTCTCTTACGAAACCCTTCGCTCCACGTCGTGGTGAGATTTCAAAGTACTAAGTGTGAAGACTCACCGTGTGAGACCTGTTTACTAGACTGCCATCACTTGCTTCGTAGTACCACCCTCGCTGGCTTTTTCTCGCATGACGCTGATAAATGTTCTTCTCCCGAGGACCATTCTTCTACAAAAAGTATTTTGTGGATCCACGTCTCCTCCATGGAAGTATGCTAAATCATTATTCGTTTGTGTTCTGATCAAGTCTCGTTTATTTCGTTGTTTCATCCCTGTGCCGCTTCTCTGAAACGTTTTACAAAATACAATTTCTATTGGTTGTAACAATTTTCACTACCAGTTCATACTTGTGTACAACTCGAACTAGTTTTGTCTTTGATATAGGTCGTCCTGTTAGCTAGGCCGTGCCAAATGAATCGTATTTTTAAAAGTTTTGTTTGTTCATTCAACAAGTTTTTATTGTTCATTTGCAACCTTGCTATTGTATAATTCTTGTTCACTGTTGGAAATTACATCGTAATTTGACGAAAAATGTCCTGTTAATTTTTCTACACAAACTCTACGTTATTTTTAAGTAACGAATACATTCGTAAAATGACGAACAGTTTGTAACTCAGTTGTTGCCCTAAAAGAAAGATCCTGGACTCAAGTATTTTTGAAACAAACATTCTAACATTCTGAGCAATTGACACTATTAAATCGTGATGTTACGAATAGTTTGTTTTATACCGCTACGAACAGATCGTAATCGAAATTGACGAAAAATACTCGTTAATTTCAATTACGACCTACCCTTGATAGATAATTATGGTGAAATGACGAAATTTATTAACAGTGTTTTTTAAATGAATGTTGTTGGCAACAAAAATTACTTCATAAAAGCAGCTTTTGTTAACGGCTAATGGTAATATTTCCAGAGTGTACCCATTATTTTCGTTAAACAAACTTATTCCAGTAGCTTTGGGCTTACGTAACAACGGCCGGATGCGAACAACTCGAGCGTGCTTACCCAAGAAAACGCTCGAACCGCCTGTATCGGCCGTCATATTCATAAATCCCTGCGAACGGAGCGCAGCCCAAGAAGTCGGTCAAGGGGAGGACGAAAGTCTCCCCAGCCTCCGCTGTGCGCCCCGCAACGCCCCGCCCGCCGTCGCTCTGTGCACCCACCTGCTACCGGCCGGCTGCAGTGCAACCGCACCATATTCAGGACCCGGCAAATCGGAACGATGCACATCAACGCGATCAGTGTCAAGGAATAAAGGCCCCTGTCAAAACGGTGCTCTAAGCGTGTACAATGTCAAAAAAGCATCACGACAATCTCAAATTTATTTAGTTTTCAGCTAAAATAACTTTCTTTAAATTCTCTACGCCAATACTTAAATTTGGTGCCTTCAGCTTACTTTTTCAATTAAGTTAAGAAGGTACACGTGTCCTTCGCCTAACCGCGAAGCATAGTGTCAAGTGTGAGCGTCTGTGTGTGTGTCTGTGCTGTGGGTGTGTGGGTGTGTGTGCGTGTGCGCGTGCGCGCGTGCGGGCGCGCTCTTGTGTGGCTCTCGGTTTGGGGGAAGTGTTATGGGGTCTTCACTGCCCATAGCCTAATCCTAATCAGCAGCGCACTATGTGTCTGTCGTGCGGGGGAGCTCTCGACTACCCATAAACTAAAAATTTCCCCACGAGTGTCGCAAGATATCTCTCTCTCTCTCTCTCTCTCTCTCTCTCTCTCTCTCTCTCTCTCTCTCTCTCTCCCTCTCTCTCCCTCTCTCTGATAGCGTGATACAGCACGGCCGAGTCTAGGAATGGCACTGAATGACTAGTGTGTATGAGAGAGAGAGAGAGAGAGAGAGAGAGACGTAGGACGAACGGAAACGGGTGGGTGGGGTGGCTCCATTTGTGGCACCCAGCGAGAGGGCCACGACCACGCTGGGCCACGCGGTGCGCAACAGTCGCGATGCTGACCACACTGTAAACAGTTTTTATTGTTAGAAGGTAGACGCACGTTAAAACCCTGTGAAGCTGAGCTAAATGTGCGTCTACCTTGGCCTGCGGCGCGCTAAAATTAAAATGTTTTCGCGATTTTGGTTGGCATGCCTGTCCACCTCACATCCCACGTCTCACGCCAGGCGCCTCACTTCCTCACTTCACGCCGTCTTCCGGGCGGTCTACCCCTGCGCTTCCTGAACATTTAAAGGTAAAGTTTAATTTCAAGTTCAAGTTAAGCTCAGCAATAATGTATGAACGAAAAAAGGGAAGAGTCAAACAGAAACAAAACTACATGCGTAAATATGCCAAATTTGCGATTTATTGGCCGGTTTTTGTGGCACATTTATTCGTGGTTTCGTATTCTGTCGTTCACAACTTTTCAGTAAAGATATGAATATACATTTTGGAAGTGCAAGAGGAAAGAAAATTACAATTGGACTAGTTGACCTTACATCATTTTTGTTTCTCAATTATTTATTCCGAACAAATTTATTCTATTGTGAGTAGATGTCCCACATAGGCGCTCTTGTTTGTCTTGGTGTTGACAATAGTGGCCATCTGTGCTGCGGAGAGAGAATTGCGTCGCCAAAAGATCATTACATTGTACGACAATGGGGTCCCTCCGAGTGTCGCGTGCGACATAAGTAAGGCGGGCGAGCGGCCATGGGCGCCCCAGGCGCGCCCGGGGGGCAGCACGCCGCGCACACAACCCGCGCGGGGCTTTCCTTTTCCTTTGGAAAATAGTGCAAAAGTGCAACGCCATCAGCGTTTTCTGAAAGTCGCAGTCACAGTTCGACATTTTTATATTTCTTGTCCAAAGCAGCTGTCTCGTCGTTCGCGGGGGCTGTGTGAAGTTTGCCGCGCGGAGAAGGTTGCTGCCGTCGCGGGTACAGGTGCGCCTTGTCCTCGCTCCAGAGACAGGCACATGGAAGGGTCAGTGGGGCCAGTTCATGGTCTCACTCGGGCATGAGTAGGTGAAATGAAAAAAAAAAGCGCCGATGGTCGCACTGCGCAAATGATGAAGTATAAAATTGTGTTAGCTAGTCTTTTATCCGTCGAATCAGAAACGACTACTGCGGTTAGCCGCCCGTCCCTTTTTTCGGTTCATGACCTCAGAGCGACAGTTGACCGCCCATGGTGGATATAACCGCGCTGGTTGATTATGTGAGGGTGCAGAATGACTCTACCGGTCCTTAGCCTCGTCGCGAGCGTCAGATTCCTGGGCTGACCTCCGTCCCCGCGAGGCCGCCTCGCCGCGGGAGATTACGGGGAAGACTTTCTTTCCGAATCGGGATGTGCATCCAATGAAGCGGTGGTAACGTACGTGCATTCCTCTGCAATTATCCGCTTGCATAACCCGCCCGCCGTGGCCGCCGCACTACCCACCCACGAGAAACGGCCACGTCAGTTTTCGCAAATGCACCGTTTCTTTGACAATAATGCTCTGCTTTTGCAGGGATTCTACTTGAATAGCATCGTTTTTCTGTTTAGACCGGTTGTAATTTTATAATTAAAAATTTGCTTATTTCGTTTCGGAAAGTACTAACAGTTCCCTTCGAGTTTTAATTCTGCCCCCTTAAAAAATATAATCGGTAATCTCAAAGTAGAAAGAAAAATATAGGGTCTCTGTTGGTTTCAGTTTCAAATTGCAAATTTTCTGCTCTGTGGTCGTCGATCGTGTAATGCAACCGATTGCACGGCCGGGCTCCGATCACACCGTGTTCTATGGCGTGGCGCGGCGTGGGTGCAGCGGACTGCAGGCGACAACAACAGTGTTGTTATGCAGGTCACGAATCTCATGCACATATGCAACATGATGTGTGTCACCGCGACCGTACCGGAGGCTGCGTCCGCGACCGTGTCATTTCGTGGGGACACACACACACGTCACTTCGGAGGTGGACCGCGTGGACCACCCACGTCACGTGTGGCGGACACCTAACCCAGAGAAAAAAGAGAGAGAGAGAGAGAGAGAGAGGGGTAGAGAAGGGAGGGGGGAGGGGCGATAAAGAGGTTTGCAGGTCGGTTGTCTTGCCTCCGTGTTTATGTGACCTCTGAAACTCGTGCTGCGCTACTCGTGGAGACCTTAACGCTGGTGCGCAATGATAGTTTCCGCTCTTTCTCTTTCTGCCCCTTTGTCTCCATCTCTCTGTCCATATCACTTTTCCCATTCTGGTCGCAAAGGTATTTGGTAAAGTTATGTAACCTTTTTTTTTTTCTGTCTATCTTGTTTCGGTTACAAATCGTCAGTATCACAACGTGGCGGCACCACTTACCACATGTGGCCCCCCAAGAATTATATTCGCGCTTTTTAATGGTCTTCACCAGTCAACTTAAGATCTCTAAAAATGCGTTTAGTAGTTTCGATCGTGATGTGTCACGTGTTGGCCCAGACTAAGCGATGGTACCCACGTGGGAAGCGGCCGAGCAGGGGCCGGTTTGCGTAAGAATTTTAACCGTGGAATTTAAATATTTGACTGACGCCGGCCACACTGGTCACTGCCAAGATAGAAATCTCTTTGAAAAAATAAACAAAAAATGAATGCTTCCCGCATCTTTTAACTTGAGAGGCGCCCTTGACGTGCTGTCGCTGTTCCCGTGATGAATAGCAATATGTGACGCTGGTTTTACGACAGCAGGCGGACCTCGACATTGTTCTTTTTATCTTCACTTTTTCGACCACACTTTTACACCTTAACCTCGGGGCCGGCTGACTCCGTACGGCAAGTTGAGCCCTTCCGTACATTACCGGAGACTATAACCTGGACGAGGAAAGCGCCGGCGGCCCGCCATCGCTGTCGCGGCCGCTTCCCCACCTACCTCCCCACTTTATCTGATATACGCAATAATGTCCCTCTTTAGAGGCGGCGCGTGGAACGCTTCCATCTGATGCGTTTCATAACGCTGCCCTCTGTCGACGTGTCTGCAAACAACAATCAGGGCAGCCGGCGAGGCAGCCGCCGCCGACAAGCTCGACAGCTTTTCCTGCCGTATCCGCGGAAAGTCGGGGCGGTGCGCTTGTCCTCGTCCAAGCTGTGATGGCGGTACGTTGGCCGTGCGCTGGTGTTTCATGTTGAAAGGGAGTCAGAGAGGGAGAGAGAGAG